TTTTTGTCTTTTTGAGACAGGGTCTCCCTGTAGCCCCAGCTGTCCTGGAACTCACTATGTAGACCAGGCTGGCCTTGAACTCACAGAGATCCGCCTGCCTCTGCCTCCCGAATGCTGGGATTAAAGGCGTGTACCACCACACCTGGCGGATTTTGTCTTTTTTGAGACAGAGTTTCCCTGGAGCCCCAGCTGGCAGGGAACTTATTATGTAGACCAGGCTGGCCTTGAACTCAGAGATCTTGCCTGCCTTGCTTATTTTTTGTTTTTGAGACAGGATTTCATTACATAGCTCATGCTGGCCTAAAATGCTCAGCAATTTTCCTGCCTCAGCCTCCTATGTGCTGGGACTATAGGTGTGCCTGTATGTCTCTGTCTCTGTCTCTCTACAAAGTCTTACTATATTGCTCAGCCTGACCTCAAATTTAACCATCCTCCTGCCTCAGTCTCCCAAGTAGCTAAGATTTTAGCCATGTTCACAATGCTCAGTCAAAAAACTATTGGGGAGGAAAAAAAAAAAACTATTTAAATTGGAAAAAGTTCTTTGAAGAGAATCAACGAGGCCAAAGAACAGAAAATGTCAGGAGAGGCACCTGACACGGCACGGTTTGGGACGGTCAACTGGAAGCTATAACAAGCCGAGATCTGAAGGCTGCGCGGCTCACAGTCATGAAAACGGGGTGCATGGCCCATGTCTAGAGGTGTCTGGGTAGAAAGCTGCTTTGTCTATATCTAAGTAGCCAGAGTAGGGAAGCTGGGCTGCAGTAGGGGGCTTGAACTGGCTAAGGTACATCAGGCTGGAAAGCAGGTCTCCAATCCCAGGTGGACCCAGTCTAATCCACCCCCCACCTCTTGGTTTGTGAGGCTGAAACCCTAATTACCCACACAATAGATGACAGGGCAAAGATCAAGAGGATATATAAGCTGTGACCTCTGGTCTCTGCTTTTCAGACAGGATTACTCACCCCGCCTGGGGCACTGCGCTGTATGGAGACTGGGGCTGCAGGCTCCTTGTAGCCACCATAGGACGGGGTCACCTGCTGCTGCTGGGGCTGCTGGTACACTGGAAGGTGGGTGGAGAGTGGGCTCAGAAAGCATCTAGCCAAGCCCATTCCCTGAACTTCCTCAATAAGATCAAAGGCATGAATTTCCACACCCCCCCATAAGCCTTGTTCAGTGACCCTCCCAAAGGCTTATGGCTATGAAGCACACATCCACTGTGTCAAGAACATCACAACAGAGCTGTGCTCATCACATTGGGTCTGCTCTCCAGATCCCCAGTGCTGGCCTGACCCAGCATTCACATCTTGGCAGGGATAGAGATGGGTTTGGGGAGCCTTCTCAAACACACATGAACGTATGTTTCTGTAGTTTCTCTCACTGCCCCCCCTCCTATTGGCACTCACCAGGGGCGCTGGTTGGGATGTGATGAGGCTGTGTCTGTTGCTGCTCTGGGGGCCGACGGTAGCTGCTGCTGTCTGGGGCATCTCGGCGCTCTGGTTCCATGCCCTCACCCCCACTGGGGCCCATGCGGCTCTTCTCAAACTCCTCATGGTATTTGATCTGCAAGGCAAGAACTGGATGAGTGCCCTATGGCAAGCCAACCAGTCTCAACTACCACTTAAGCTGGGCATGGTGGTAAGTACCTGCAGTCCTAGTTACTGAGGTAGGAAGGAGCACTTCCTAAGGCCAGCCTGGGCAACACAGAGACATCTTCACACATATACACACCACAGGATGGGGAGAAACTCCTGGAGGGCTCTAGGCAGACAGAGCACCAGCTGTCTGGGTAACTTAACCATGACAAGCCTCATTTAAACCTCTTTAAAATGGGTCATCAGTGTCTATGCCAAGTCCTACTAAAAGGCGTAGTGAGATGGCAGCTATGAAGAGTCCATGTGAAGATTGGGGTAGTATAGCTCAGTTGACAAAAAACTTGTCCAGTACACACAAAGTCTCAAATTCTATAAAAATCAAGCATGCCTGTAATCCCAGCACTCAGAAGGTGGAGGCAGGAGAATCAGAAGTTCAAATGAGAGCATCAAATGAGAGCTGTTCCTAGTATGAGACTGTGGCAGGGGCTGGGCCTTCCCTACTTGCTAGGCAATATTAGCAATTGCAGCAACTCCTGTTTACTGTACACTTCCTATGGGCCAGGCCCTGTGCTGTGTGCTTAGTATCACAGGCTGTTCATTTTACACAGTCAGCTTGCATTGACTGCACCAACCCCACTGAATACTCTCATGGGCGATACATTATTTAAGCACCTCACAAAGTATATACTATTTTACAATAATGACAGAATATCACTGCACAAATACGGAATGTATATTATAAAATGCATTAAAAAGTAGGTGGGTGTGGTGGCACACACCTTTAATCCCAGCACCCCGAAAGTGGAGGCAGGTGGATCTCTATGAGTTCAAGGCCAGCCTGGTCTACATCTTGAGTTCCAGGTTAGCTGGGGATACAGGAAGACCCTGTCTCAAAAACAAACAAACCGGGGCTGGAGAGATGGCTCAGGGGTTAAGAACACTGACTGTTCTTGCAGAAGACCCAGGTTCGAATCCCAGCTCCCACATGGCAGCTAACAACTGTCCAAAACTCCAATTCCAGGGGATCCAACAGCCTCTTCTGTCCTCTGTGGGCATTGCACAACACGGGTGCACTTACCTACGTGCAGTCATAGAACTCATACACATAAAATTAAGATAATAATAAAATATAAAAAATATTTAAAAAAAAAAAACAAAAAAACAAAAACCAACCAACAGCCAACAGCAACAACAAAAAAGCACAAAAAGTGAGGGACAAAGTATAAGCTGGAGAAGCGGCAGGCCCAAGGGTTCTAAGGTGTCCTTCCTGCACCCTTGTGGGACACATGCTCATATCTCACCTTGAAGACCTGGGCAGGCTCTACTCTCTGCTCCTCTAGAGGAAACTTGTGGGGAGCAGAATGAGGGGAGATGATAAGGCCCAGGGTTTTGGGTGGGGAAGAGTGACACAGAGGAACAAACTGAAGCGCTCAACCCCTTCCTGGGGAAAACAACAGGGAAACTGTTCCATCCTCGGGAGACTTTAGCACCTGCCTGGGAGGCTGGTTTTGACTTCCTGATCACCAGGACCCTGCTCTGCCTTTTCCTGACTCTGGAAACCTGATGTTTCCTGGACGAGAAAAGGATGCTGTAACCTGGAGTCCTGTGTCATCCTTTCCGTGCTGCCTCCTCTGGCCCTTGGCACTCACTATGCACAGGCGTCAAGAGGCATGGAGCTGTGGCCAACTGGAAACACCTGTGTGGTTTATGCTGACTACCAGTTATTTACTGCAATCTGGGCCGGCAGACATGCAGGGCCAATGCAGAGAGAAAGTGTGGGAGTTTGGTCTGGAGGCAGAAAGTGGATCTCTCAGGAAGGGCTCACTCAGGGGTCTGAGTTGAGACTAGACCCACCCCCTTCTCTGTTCGTTCCCTCTATGACCATGAGGGACCCACACCCAAATGGGAAAACAGGCTGAACCTATTCTTGGGAAGAGGTACCCAGCTCTTGCTGGTCTGGAACTCTATGGGGGGAGGAAGAACTCCCCACCCCCAGTGCCACTTGGAGTGACACCCAGGTGTGAGGTGTTCACAGCCACAGGGCAAAAGTAGACTCTCCTCAGATCCAATTTCCTAAGGACCTGGGCCCCTGGCCAGTGGGGAGGGGAGGGGTACAGGAAGGGGACACCCCTCCTGAAAGACAACGCACTTACCCTTCTGACTTTTGTACTGTGAGTGGAAAAAGTCAGTTTCCCTTGTTTATTTTCTGTGTTTTTTAATATATAAACTTAAAAAAATTTTTAAATTATATTCGGGGGGTGCATGTGCACACTCACATGTGGAAGGAGAAGAAAACTTGTGTGAGAGTTCTCTTTCTACCATGTGGGACCTGGGGATGGAAGTCAAGTTACCAGGCTTGGCGGCAAGCACCTTCATCTGCTGATCCTTCTCACCAGTCCCCCCACCGTTTCCTTTCTGTTAAGGGGAAGGGGCCTGATTCCAAGAACCAATGACCAAGGAAGAGGATGAGACAAGTCCCTATTGGGCCTTGGGTGTGAGCTGGTGGTGTGCAGAGTGAAATGTCCCTGAGGGAGAGCCCTTTCCTGGGTGGGGTTCTATGCATTAGCAATGGGTGAGGGAACCACAAAAAGGCATGTGGGGCACTCAGCTCCTCCTCCACATCAAGGGCTCTAGGGGATAAGGAGCCAAAACGTGGTCTGTCACCCATCACTGACCTGTAGGTTCAATGCTTCCCCTTGGGCCACCGGGCCTTGCCCATGCCTCATCCCTAGAGGATCAGCACCCTTTTGTCTATTCATGCCTCAGTTTCCTCATCCATAAAAGAGGCCATGGTGCCACCTGTTCTCAGGTGGTTCTAAGGACCCCTACCAGTTCTGAAATTAAATGTGTGGACAGCATGGAGATCCACAGTTAAAAGATGAAATCCACTTTACTCCTTAAAAGTCACTGCCTGCAGCTGAATGAGGGTGGCTCATGCCTGTAATCCCAGCACTTGGGAGGCAGGATTACCACAAAGGTAAGGCCAACCTGGTCTACATAGTAAGACTCTGTCTCAAAACACCAAAAGTCAGGGGCTGGAGTGGTGACTTAGTGGTTAAGAGCACTGGCTGTTCTTGCAGATGACCTGGGTTCAATTTCCAGCATCCACAACTGTGGATGGCTAACAACTGTCTATAACTCCAGTTCCAGGGGATCCGATGCCCTCTTCTGACCTCCTCAGGCACTGCATGACATAGGTGCACTTACATGCAGGCAATATACTAATACACATAAAATAAAAATAATTTAAAAATTTTAAAAACCACTAAAAGTTGGGGCTGGGCATGGTGGTGCACGCCTTTAATCCCAGCACTCAGGAGGCGGAAGTAGGTGGATCTCTGTGAGTTCGAGGCCCACCTGGTTTCCATAATGAATCCAGGACAGCTGGGGCTACAGGGAGACCCTGTCTCAAAGAGACAAAAAAAAAAAACCCACAAAAAAAACAAACTAAAAATCATACTACCTGTGGACAAATGTGTACATAATTAGATCTTCAGGCAGCTAGCATGGTGATGGCCTGCACACAAGACATCCATCCCACCCACCCCCATCCCACCAGATGCCACCTACCACTATCATCAATAACGACCTTCAGCCAGGTATGGTAATCCCAGCACTGGGGTGGGAGGTGGAGGCAGGTAGATCTCTGTGAGTTCAAGGCCAGCCTAGTCTACATAGTGAATTCCAGGCAAGCTGGGGCTACAGGGAGACCCTGTCTCAAAAAGATCAATCAATCAGTAATAAAAATAATAACAGCCTTCACATTTGCACAGTTCACACCAAAGTCACAAAAGTTTTTCACACATTATTTCTCTTGACAAGTCACCTTAAAAAGTACACCTGGAACAGAGACCACTCAGCAGGTAAAGGAACTTGCAGACAAGCCTGATGACCTATTTGATCCACAGAAGAAACATGGTGGAGAGAATGGACTCCGGTAAGTTGTTCTCTGACCTCCACACACATCCGTCACCCACACAAATGTTAAAAAGAAAAGTCAGACTGCACACACTTTAATTCCCATTTCAAAGAGGAAATGGGTCGCAGAGACCACAGAGTTTTCACTAGATGGGTACAGCGGAAGCTGGTAATGTCTGGGACAAGGTCCGAACTAGACAGGCCTTTTCCTGAAAAACACGCCCAGGCGCTCCTAGTCCCAATTTGCTCATCTATATTAAGAGCCCCCTCAAAATGGGGGATAATTGTAGGGTCACCATACCTTGGAGGGGACCTAGACCAAGAGGGGAGGTAAGGAGGGCAGCATCAGCTGAAGCATGAGGCCCCTGCTCAGGCTGGCCAATGCCTTCTACTTCCTCCTCAGCAAATGAGGAAGCCCTGTGATTACTCTGCCGTGTGATTACTTGGGACTCACCTAATCGGTTAGGCAAACAGGCAAAGCAACATTCCCCAGAGGATCCTGGCTGATCATGGCTCAACGAAGCTCTGCTCTTTAAGGAGCCCGAATGAGGGTGAGCAGGACTCCATGGTAGCATGCCAGGCTCCAACCATGAGGTCTAACTGCATGCTGGGTTCAATGGCTGGGGCCCAGGGACCCCTACTGGCCAGGTTTCTGGTGTGACTAGGTAAGGTACCCTCTGTATTTCTGCTAGCTCATGTTCCGCTTTCTGAAGTACCTGCTTCCTGACTGTGGTGGAAAACAAAAGCCTGACTGGTCACATGTCCCTCCCCACATGATTCTGCATCATGGCTTAACTGGGAACATTGAGCTTTGAATGGAGTAACTACCTCACTCTCATGAGCCAGCCTTTTTGAGGGCAAGGGGACTCCCATATGTTGAAGTCCTACCTTGTGCCCTTACGTACATTATTCCTTTCCTTTTCTCACCCAGCCCAAGAATAACATCTCATTATGATCCCATTCTACAGATGGGGAAACCAAGGCTGAAAAGGTGATAGGATAAGAATCCACTTCTAGGCCAGGCGTGGTGGCCCACATCTTTAATCCCAG